TACATCGATAGATAAAAGGGATTATCATCAAATCACTAAGAGAGATGATCAACACCATATAACCACATTATGATGAAATCCATCTTTAGACCAAACCACAAAATCTGCGAAAACAGTCTGAAAGATTGAAACCAACAGGCCACAAATAGATACAAATTAAAAACTCATAACACCCTCTTTATGACTACCCCAACCTCCAATTAAATACCAACTCCAAAAATAGTAGCAGATCATGACAGAGGTAAAAATAAATAGATCAGAAAATATATGATTATATTCACACTTCCAAGTAGTGGATTATATAATATAAATGTTTATTCAAATTTGAAATCCTATATAGTTTCCTACTTCTGTACCTTTTTCAAGTACATACACGTTTGGAATTTCTCCTTCAACCGTTTGTTCTGTTTGACCAATCTGCATGGGCTCTCCACGCTTGTCCCCTGTGAACTTCACTATTCTATAGTGAAAATGATACCATAAACCATTGATTTGAAATTGAAACCATTATTAATTAAGGAAATGAACAAGTAGTGAATAATAGAATATAATTTTTTATTCGAGTTTTAAACCTTATACAGTTTCTTGCTACCATATATTTTTCAAGTACAAATACATTTGGAACTTCGCCTTCAACCGTTTGTTCGATTTGACCAGTCTGCATGGGGTCTACGAGCTTGTCCTTGGTGTAATTCACTATTCCATTTCCCAATATAACGATACATTTCATTTTATTCCCACATAAACCCTTCTTAAATGAATCAATGCTTCACTTTATGAAATTATTCATGTGGTGTGACTAAGTGTTCCTCATAATGAACCGATTATTTGGAATTAAATCAGAAATTCTACAAATGAAACATATAAACACCAATTAGATCATTTCTCGAGATTCATGTATATGATTATCTTTATGAAAGAGATTCAAATATGTAAATTCAGAAAATCAACTACAATTCATAAACATATTCGCTAAATTGATCCCAAAAATTCAGTTTTTCAGCATTTGAAACATATTCACTTGCAA